CATATAAAGCTATGGCTAATTTCTCCTCAGCACATAATTTGCAAAATTTATGGCCTGTTTATATTTTGGGCATTTTTTTAATATTTCCTATTTAAGGATGGGGTCTATATTATCTTGTTTGGTTTTCCATACGTATACGTGGGTTTAGATGTGGTTATACAAATTTATGCTCAGTATTTTTTAAATTTTCACTTGATACACCACGCATTCCTGCTGGCATTTTCCTGTAATGGACAGATGTTTTGTTTCTACAATTACAAGTAGGAGGATTACTACGTGGATCATTCCTAGTTTTTTTCTTATTCAATCCATTTATAATAGTCCCTACGTTCGGCATACAACAATAACTAAGTTTTACATTGTTTTTGTTAAATATTTTATGTAACTCAGTTAGTTTTTTTTTTTTTTGGGGGAATGTTGCTCCAGTAAATTAAAAAAAATATCTTACCAATTTCTTTGCCTATTATGTTTATTCCGAGTAATGTTGTGGTTGTCTATATATTCTAATTTATTTTTATGTCCACTCTTAAATAGGGCTTGTTGGCCTCAAAAATGTCCCTATTGGAGGAATTAGTAGAAAGTCTATACCCAATATTTTTAGAAATATGCCTTATAATATGGGCTGGGTGATTTGATTTTGTGTAAATACTGGGGTTCTTGATTTTCTTTTTTATACGGGGATATTGTGCCATTTTGTAAATTCAACGTAATATCTAGATAGTTGGTAATTTTCAAATTGGTTTCTATATCGAGATAAAATCGAATTTTTAAAAAACCAGTGCAGTTTTTTTTACGAATGTTGTCACATTTTTGAGGGTTACTATTGTCCACTATGATTAAACCGTCGTCGCGGTACAACCCATGGTTATTAAAGTCTATATATTCATTAAGCCTATGGAGCAACATGCACCCTACTATCTCGCACACCTCTGCCCCATCAAACGCTCCCATAGGGTTGTCAAAACCGTTAATATTATCTTTTTTTTATCCATAAAGTATTATCGTGAAATAGCAATGTATTTCTACAATGTCTAATTAGATTTATTTTATCATCAAAAATTTGGATGTATTCTTTAGCTAAGCTAAGTGCTTCGTTTAGCGTTTTCTCTGAAATAGACGGATAATACTCCTTAATATCATACCTAATAAATGAGCACTTTTTATTTTTATTGTAATTTTTAAACCATTTAATGCAATCCTTAGTAGATTGCCATTGGTTAATATTAAGGAAAGTTCTAAGGGATTTACATATATCCTGCAGAACTATTTTACTTATTTTGCCTAATTCCGTCTTAGTAGAGTTTATAAGTCTATATTCCGGATTATTAATAAAATTACTTTTATGATCTTTTATGGTGATAAAGCAAGTGTTTAGGTTTATTTTTTTTCAACTCGATTTCTTAATTCAAATTTATTAATTAGGATGATAGCCTCATTGTTAATTTTAGTCTGTTATTAGGAGCTTTTATATGTTTTATTACCTCCTTATGTAGTATTTTTTGTAATTGTTGGGGCTCATTTTATATAAGAATTTAGATTTATCAGCTTTTACGTAAATATTCTTGTCTTTTATTTCTTTTATATTTTTAGCAATTTGTTGTTGCACGTTATTATTCCTTATTTTTCTATATTTTAATTTTTTGATAATACCGATTAACTCCGATTCGAAGTTACTGAGTTCCTTAACATACGGAGGATGGGCATTGGTCTTAAATCCATAGCTCTCGTTGGTTTTGCTATTAGGTTTATTATTTAAACAAAAATATGCACGCCACCTCATATTTATTATAAATTTCTCTATTTTTCTTAATAAACATAACTCGTATGAGTGACGGTCAGGTATGGGTATGTTTTTAAGTGAATAACCTATGTCTACGCGTTCCATATTAGTCTATTTAAAACAGTGCTCGATAGGATAACCTAGAGCTTTATACATATAAATATAGATAACTACTCGTTTCGAAAAACCCTCGAATTTTTGATTTGCTAATCAAATCAATTTTGAGGGGAAAAAAAGGTTTGTCTGGCTCACTAGGTGTATCTAGGTCTGCTCTACGGTTGTATTGAGCTCTTTTGTTAGTTAGTTGTTACTCGTATCGGGGTTTTTTCTTTGGGCTTCAGACCTGCATCTGTGCGATTTTTTTGTCGGCAGAAGTTAATGTTTGTAGCTCTTCCCCTTTTTTTTTTTTTTTTTTTTTTAGCAAATCAAAATTGATTTTTTTAGAAAATCTAGTTATTCGAGGGTTTTACATAAAAATATATATATATATATATATATATATATATATATATATATATATATATATATATATATATATATATATATATATATATATATATATATAACGAAAACTTACTACCAGCAATACATTTGTGTAAATTATTATTACAATACATTTTTAAAGGAATAAATATTACCAGTATTAAATTTAAAAAAAAAAAATTACTAAGAATAAAGAATCTTGTCGGCATTAAATAACCCATTGAGGTTGATATACCGTAAACCAAACCAACCTGGGTATGACGATAAACTACATCCAGCAGCAAGGCCTCTGATCGAGAATTTTTGAAGAGCCTGGAACCACCTCGTAACTGCTATCGTTCTCAGGTCCTCCCGACACTGGCTGGTGGCACCTGTTAGAATCCCAGGTGAGAGCAAGTAGTTAACGACTCTCCCAAAACTGGAGTCAAATCATTATGAAAATTATAAAAATCTTATAGTAAAAATACCTGCAATATATTTGGGGGAAAAAAAATACAAGGAATCCATTTGACTCTCGAGAAAAACCCTCTTTACAAAAATACATCAATGAAAACGATTTCTCACAAATACATATTCTATTCATACGAACATATCCTGAAAACTTTGTCGGGATTATATGACGCGGGGGTTGTGGGTGCGTGTTCAATATTTAATAACCTTGCGACAATACGCGCTTAAAGGTTTTAAGCAGTTTTGATCAACATTTCTTTTCATGGTTAGCCGTAAGGAAGTGTAAATGTAGGACTACCTTACACTTAAGTAAAATGACTATTAATTTATTACAGAATATATCAAGTTTTACGGAAGCACTGACGTTTATGTATTTTAGTTACATAAAAAATAAATAAAAATAATATAAATTTTGATGCTATATTCGATTTGATGTTAGGTATTTTTCATTTTCTCCTTTATTGGCAGCCTTTAATAATACTTTGTCTGTAATGCTAAATTTCCTAAGTTGAACAAACTGGAGCTATTTCGGTATTTATCATTTCACCCACGGGAAACATATGGCCCAAGGCCGGTTTTATTGTGGGTTTCTCCGAGCCCGTAGGCTCAAAAAAAAAAATAGCCTTTGAAGCCGATTAGACAGGTTCAGGCTATTTCGTTTACGCTTTGTTACCTCTTTTCTATTGCTGTTTTTAGATCGTTTTCTTCCCGTCGTTTTGGTCAGCAATAGCGAAATTCTTAAATTTAGAATGATCTTTTTCTATTTCAAAAATAAAAACTGTATTTTAAATTAATATACGACCAAAAAAGTTTCACGATAATTATGTAACAGTAATGTAATGATATTCCTCAGGCAAATCTATGGATTATCTCATTGAATGGTTAAGAACTATAAACCAAAATCGAGCTTGAAATATTGTGTAATCGGCGCTTTTTTTTAATATTTGGATACGATATAATGAATATTTTGCGGGTGAAGAAAGCAATTTATTTATTTTTTTCTTGAATACACATGTCCTCTGCCGAACGCGTCAAATAACCCATTGAGGTTGATATGCTATAAAACAAACCGAATCCACTGTGACAAGAGCCGATTTGATTAAAACCACGAGTTCGTGAATTTTGTGATTGGAAATTCAATCCCTGAGCTGGGCGGTGCTGACTTGTATGAGGCGGAAACTGGTGTGGAGCAATAACCGATCAATACTAAATGACAAAACCAGTTACCTCGAGACATGGACAGCGGAATCATAACAATTCGAACATCGTAGATTAGTGTTCGGTTTGAAATTGCATGAAGGCCACAATGGTGGAAATGTTGCCTGTAGATTCGCCATTTTAAAATCTCAGCTTCAATTTCAATATTTTTGTTAGCTTTTATTACTTAAACGAAACAAAATCTTTAGTCTTCATTATAATATACGGTCAACTACGTCATCTCCAGGGTAGTACTCACTCGGTCAGACGCCTTTGGTATGTCCGACAGCAAGGTCTCTGATCAGGAAATTTTGAGGAACGTGGAACCACCTTAATTGCTGGTGTTCCCAGATTCACCCAAACCCGGGGCGGTAGCACTTGTTAGGGTCCCAGCTAACATGCAAAAATAGGTTTTAATACCAGCAAAGCTTTTTTGTAAATTACTAGCAATGCATTTACAAATTATACCAAAAATACTTTGAATCTTTTTGGAAAAAAAAAAAAAAAAAATTAAGGTTGATATACCGTAAAACAAACTGAACCGAGGAGGTAGCACCTGTTAGGATCCCACTAAATAGTGAACCCCAAACTGAAGTCAAAACACTACAAAAGTATGAAAATTTTATAGTAAAAATACCATAAATCCATTTTTTTTTTTTTTTTTTTTAAGTCTCCAGCAATACATTTGACTAGACAAAACTCTCTGTACAAAAATGTCAAACCGGTTCTAAAAACTAATTTCTCATTTTTAAAAAAAAAATACGTATTCTATTCATACAAACCTCTTAAACATCCTGTCGACATTATATAAGCCACTAAGGTCGATATGCCGACAAACCAAACCTACTACATTACCACTTGTAGAAATTGGTTACCTTACAACTGAGGATTCGTTTCGATTTTCGCTAAAATATAAGCAGTGATTATTTATACAAACTGACAAATGAGAAAAAAAAAAATGAAGTTTCATATTTACAATTTATACGTGTCTTAAGACAAGTGACCGAGTAACATCTTGGTTGTAAAAATCGAGAAAATGTGATAAAAAAGCACTTGAAATATTCACTGGAAATAAAAACATTTCTGTGAATCAGTCTCCATTTCTCGTATAAAATCTATGTCCTGTTTCTTCTTCTCGTATAAATCTGTACGGGGTCATGTTCGTATCCAAGAATATGGCTGGACAAAGTGGAGCTTCTTTAGGAGTGTAATCAAGTCTGTACATGGTATTATCCTCAAGAGGACCTTTATCCTGTTCCCACGATGACTCTGGTTTGCAAGTCATTGTTTCTACAGGAGGATGAGGGACGTAATGGGCTTTCATAGTTGAGATACCTTTAAACGGCGCTGTATTCGGAATATATTCCTGCTTCCTCATTGGTAGTTGTGCTACTTTCCATGGTTTGTAATCTGTATTGTATGACGACTCATCATTAAACTTTCCGCCAACAGTTGCACTTGTCTTTGGCATATATTTTTGTGCTGGTGGCGTCGGGAAGTAACGGTACGCCAATTTATGTGTCGTATCTTTGTCCATTTTGCCGGGCGGTTTTTTATAAGGTTCTGGCTGGTGTAACGTAGGCATGCTAGGCGGCCAGTTAAGATAATCTCTCCTGAATGTCGTTAGATCATCAATTGGTTCCTCCGGTATTTTATAGGTATTATCTGGAGCATAATTCTTTGTTTGCGGAATATTTTTCTCTTGATAATCTCTTTTAAATGTAGTTAATCCATCTAAAGGCACAGTCGGTAAACGATAAAGCGGTTTCTCTCGAGGAGATTTTTCAGGTAGACCATGTTCGATATATTCGTCACGATAACGGGTGCTGTCGTCAAATAACCCTTCTGCTGGCCTCATAGGTTCTGGCTTGAACGATTCTGCAGGTCGAGGTTCTTTATAAGAGTAATCTCTTGTAAATGTTGACTTGCCTTCCATCTTGTTGGTTGGCGGACTCCAGGCTTTAACCATGGGTATTCTTCGTGGTTCCAACTCCCATTGCTTATAATCGGTAGAGTATGTAGGATCCCCATGGAACTTTCCTGTGTTAAGGGGTCTGGCATCTTGCCGCATTGATGGAGCTGGTTTAGACTTTTTATTTGTATAATCCTTCTTGTACGAAGTGAGACCGTCAATGTTGCCCGGAGGCTTCTTCCAGACTTCTGGCAGATGCCGACACGGCGGCTTTGGCTCATGTGGCGGATAATCAACTCTGTAAATAGTCTTTTCCTCCATGTTACCTTGCGGCAATGGCTCCCCTTGTGGCCTGATACATATCCCTTTATCGAGTTTGTGTTCTTTGTAATTAGTTGTGTACTCCGTCAAACGGCACGGAAAATCCCCCATTCCTGTAATATTGGCTGGCCGATGGGGACAGTGATGCCGTCCGCAAACACATATTTGGCAAATACACTTGACCATATTTCTCGTTATTTTGGTCCGCCTTCTTTTATAGCGAAAGTGTTAATGGACCTGGCATAATACTAAACTCTTCACAACTAAATCTAGATTGTGGATAACGTTTCTTTAAAAATAACGTCTCCACGTGAAGGACTGAAAACAGAGCGTGCGTCGGCGTTCCGCATAAAACGTCAGACATGCATTTCTGTTCTTTTTATTTTCAGTATATGTATATTAAAGTTAAGTTTCCGAGTCTTAATCTGCGCTTAAAATAGACTGCATCTGCCAAGCAGAGGGTATAATGTGCGATTTGTAATGCAAATTTATTAAGGAAAAAGTGAAGTTGTAATGATTAAAATGCTACATAAATGACTATTCCGTACGGTGTTTGTGTGATTGTAATTAAGAATCACTTTGCCCAAATCAATTATCTACCAATAACTCTGTGAAAAGTGTGTGTGTGCATATATATATTATGGCAAGGAATAAGCGGAATGTAAAGGACATAATTATGAAAACTAAGAACTAAAACAAACAACCGGTTTTGTCCCAGTACTCCTCAAGTTTGATACACTGGGATTATTTAATCATAAACTTAAAAACAAAAAAAACATTCAATGAGGGGGGAAAATTTTATATATGATAGAAAGAACTAGAGCCCAATCACATTCAAGCCCAACAAGCAATCTCTCTGCTTACAGAGAAACGGCCTGCGGGACTTGATGTAAATGGACTCCAGAACCTTCAAATGATATGCAGAGTGTGACTTCGCCAGAATGGAAAAACAGTCGACACTCAAACCAGCAATACATTCCCTCCTAGTTATAGCGTGTTCCGCTATAGATGACCCGGATGTATTCACTAGTTGGCTTTTGTTAGCGGCCGGATTTAAAATTCTGGGGGTAAATGTTGTTTAATTCTAAAATCCAAACGCTGAGACGTTATGCCTATATATATATATATGTGTGTGTGTGTGTGTGTGTATATTGTTCTTATATACATCGTCTTTGTCATGTTGTATTGATAATGTTATAATTTATGAATATGTCTTTGAAGATGGTTTATTAGAATGAAACGTCCGACGTTGACATATAACATTAAAACAGCATAATTGTATATAAGGATTTTTGTTTGTTTTTTATATATATATATATATATATATATATATATATATATATTTATATATATGTTTATATATATATATATATATATATATATATATTTTTTTTTTATTATCAGCAATACATTTGACTCTCGATAAAAAAAAACTTTATACAAAAGTATCTCAATGATCCACAGATTGATTTCCTACAAGGAGTACATATTCTATTCATGAGTTTTATGCCGTAAAATAAAATAAGCCATACAGAATCAATTATTGCGTGATGGAGCTGAAAAGTTACTGCATTGACCTACTTCCCATAATCTAGCTATATATCCGGATAGTGAGAGAGCGTAGAGTATAACTGACCTATTCAAAAATCTCGATACGGATCACTTAATTTTCGTGACGATCGATAAATATTTGAGAATAAAATGTAAAATGAAGAAAAAATAAAAGCTTGAACTCTGAAATATTATTTAACAATTTTATTCCTCAATATGACTAGATTGGTGAATCTTGTGATAAGCGAACCTTTCACCAAGAGTAGAGGTTTTTCCAGTCTCATGTTTAGGATTGGGTTTCCGGTCCCTTTTTAAGGTCCGTCCTGGGTAAGACGATAAACTGTGTCCAGCAGAAAGGCCCGTGCTTGGGAGGTTTTGAGGAGCGTAAAACCACCTCTTAATTGCTAGTGTTCCCAGGTCCACCCCTTACCCTGGGTGGTAGCACCAGTTAGGGTCCCAGCTCTGGGTAAATAGGTAACTCCCAAACTGGAGTCGAAACACTATGAAAGTGTAAAGATAGGTTATAATACTTTGGAAAAAAAATATTACCAGCAATAAAATGTCGGCATTGAGGTTGATATGCCGTAAAACAAAACATACATCGGTCATGAATAAATCATGCTACTATCGTTGGAAAAATGTTGAATCATTAATATCTGCTGATTTCCAATTAAACCTTTTTATAATTGTCTAAAATTCCTTTCGGTTCAAACGGTAAATCAGAAACCGGTTCGGTATAGTAAGTGTTGCGAAACACTGCCTAGTCTCGCGACCTAAATTTCAGTCGGGGATGAATTAATCAGAATGGGACCCGCGGAACGACTCTATTCTCATAAAGTTCTCTAAAAAAGGAATGAATAAATTAAATTAATAAAATAAGGTCGTAGAACTGCGCACCCCAACCCTCCCGGCAAAAAAATTACAAAAACCAGTGCTTTGAGCGGCCTCTCTTTGAAAAACGAGGCCTGACAAACACTCTGCCTCCCCCGTGAAGATTTTCAGACAAGTTTTGCTATTTCAAACTTTTAAATGCCTCATCTGATTAAAAAGGCTATTATTTAACGGCAAATTAAATGTCTTTCTCTTTGGTACAAATTTTACTCGTTAAAAATAGAGCATAACGGTCTGCTAATCATTTTAAACCATGTCATTTTTAGCATTAGCTAGACTTAGTAAAATTTAATATTCTATTAATTTCAATCGTTTACTAGCATTACTTTCCTAAAGCCTTTCCAAGGAAAGGGGATTTAATCTAAATGTTGCCACTGTCATTTATTAGACGTGTTACCGCTTTTAGCTGCTCGGCAATTCGCTTTCTTCTGACACTAATTTTACTCGACTGCGTGCATAAAACTATTGCTTTAAATGTCACTTATTGGTAATAAGACATTTTATCTCGAGCTGCTGAACCTGTTAACAGGAATAGATTCTAATTCTCTTGATGAATAACCACTCTTAGGATTTTCTGAATTGCTAAAAGAAGCAAGACATTTTTATGTTCCCGTTTTCACTGCACTGATGGTGAAAAGTGATTAATTTTTAATTAGGCTTAAGCCTACGAATTAAGTTTAATTCATGACCTGTCGCTTTACTGGTGGTAACATGTAAAATGTTTGTTCATTTAAAATATTTATTACAAAAGACATTTAGTTTGTTTTCGGTTATTCAAGATCTGTTTGCGGATCAATATACCACCCGCAACAAACTAAATGAAGACTTGAGTAAAATATATATATATATATATTGAAATTTAACTAATGCATAGATAATGTACTTAGAACAAAATGTATTGAAACAAAGTGTACACAATATTTACATATAGTCTTTTGTATATTCCTGGTAAGACCGTTCCTGGAGAATGTGTTGACCAGAGTCGCAGTCTCTGGTTGAATCTCTTTATTCCATATTTATTTGCATATATACAACACAAAATGTGGCACGAGGCCTAAAAAAGGGGGATGGGGAAGGACGGTCTTCTTCTGTCTTAAATCTAAACTTAGCTAGTCGCAGACCCTGACCCAAACATGCCAACAATATTCCAATCACCAAAACACGTCCACCATAATATCTCAAATTCTCTATGAAGTCCAAACTAGTCCCCTTATGTACAGATATTGTTCATGGGGGGGGGGGTTTTAAAACAAAAAATTTAAAAATATCACCAAATGAATATATACAATGTGACTTAATATTTACAATAAACTAAACAAAAATGTGTTAGTAATAAAAAACCCCACAAACCATAAATGTGGCAGAAACATCAGTTAACCGAACGAAATCAATGCGGGACTATGAAAAAATCAGGAAAACATTCAAACCTCCAAGCATTCACACAGGCAAACACGCATTCAAACACAACAACAAATACGAAAAATCACCCATTCGAAACGAAAGGCGTCCCGCATCCACCAGAGAACTGACATCACTAACCACCTAACGAGGGAGGGGATGGGGAATTAAACAAAAGAAAAAATAGGGACAGAAATAAAAGGGACCAATGAGCATGCCTAGACTAGCCTAATATCTGGGTGGGTTGCCTGTGTTCAACCCTGTTAGGACAAAATTCTGTACCTAACCGACATCCCAAATGCCACTCTAGGTCAGCCCCTTTTACTCTACACATTCGCGCAAGATTCACCCACCTTTTGCCAAATTCTGATGATGGGAGCCGCCGCCTTTCCGTCCTAATCTTGACTTTAAGCTGATGCTTAAAGAACAAGATCAGTTGGGAAGAGGTGAACTTCTTGCCATCATAGAATTCCTTCTTTCGCGTCGTCCAAATCACGACTCGCATAACCCCTAGTAAGCAACAGAACAGTGTTCAGCCTTCGTCAATTGCGATACCACATTGCTACAAACAGAACTGGCTTCCAGAACAAAACTTTCCCTGCAGCATGCGAACAATGAGGCCTTCAACAAACTTGCGCAACGGCACTACCGTCTTGCACTGAAAAAGGCGTGACCAATGGTCTCGACATTCCCAGTACAGCGACGACAGTTTGGATATTTCTCCAAGCCTGCTGAACAGTCTTTTGCCGACCCAGAGGGCCCCACGAATCATCAGCCAGGTGAGTGATGCCTCATCGTTATTGAGACATTTCAACCCAGGCGCCCAAGGCCATATCGAGCGAGCCTCCTGCTTCGTAAGACCGAGCTCGTCGATCAGACCATCTCGAACGGACCCCCTAACTAACAATCGATATAATGCCTTACGAGAAAACGCTTGGGCGTCGGAGAGGCCATCCGACGTCCGCAAGAGGAGCTTCAAATCACGACGACATTCGCGGTAGAAGGAGCACTCGACACGAGGTGTACGGCCGGCCTCCTCCTCGCACGAGTGCACACTTCTCAGGGATGGGAAATGTTTTCGGACATCATCTTTCCAAAAGGTGCCCACCTCATCCAAACCGCGACGCATTCGGTCTAGAAAGGTAATGCGAAGCAAATATTGACGAATCTCAATGCTAGGCATACCCAGACCGCCCTCAGAGGGATGAAGGCAACAGATCTCGCGACATACCATATTAGCCTTGCCTCTCCACAAGAGAACAAGGTCTGGACTAATGACATTAGTCGGTACAGGAGGATCGGATGTATGTGTGAAACACATACTTCCGCCCTTCCCTTCAGGGAAA